TTGAATTTGTACGTCTCAATCTTTTATTCATCGGGATAAGCGAAGTAAGATGGAATGGCTGTGGCGAATACAAAACATCCTCCGGCGCTACACTCATCTACTCCGGAAAGGCCACAGGCGAAAAAAGAGAAAGTGGAGTAGGCTTTCTATTATCCAAAGAAGCTAAACAAGCGCTCATAGAATGGCAACCACATGGCGACCGAATAATTCTGGCAAAATTTAAAACGCGAGCCAGAACCCTTACATGCATACAGTGTTACGCGCCTACTGAAGTCACCGACCCACAAATCAAAGATAATTTTTATGACTCCCTATACTCTGTTCTAAATAAATGCCCTAGAGGTGAAATAAAGCTCGTCATGGGAGATTTCAACGCACAAATCGGGCCAGATAACAATGGAAGAAAACAAGTGATGGGTAAACATGCTCTCGGCACAATGAACGATAATGGGGAGCGTTTCTATGAATTATGTAACACCATGGGCCTCACCATAGGAGGTAGTCTCTTCCCGCACAAACATTTGCATAAAGTCACTTGGATTTCCCCAGATAATGCAACAGAAAATCAAATCGACCACATTGCCATCAGCAAAATGTGGAGACATTCATTATGCGATGTCAGAAATAAAAAAAGTGCAGACATGGCTTCTGACCACCATCTACTAATCGGTGAACTACAACTCAAATTAAATGCGGTCTTTAGAAAGCCACAATTCAAAAGGAAACTGTTCGACCTCGCCAAACTCGACAACCCTACTGTTCAAAATAACTATCAATCTCTTTTATCGGCCCAAATCCCTAATCCCTTGCCAATAGAAGAAGAAATCTTTGAAGCCGAAACTTATTGGGAACAAGCAAAATGTGCCTTCACTGAAGCAGCACAACAAAGTGTCGGTATTCCTCAACGTCAAAATAATCCGTGGATCACCGAATATACATGGAATCTTATAAAAGCGCGCAAAGGAGAAAAAGAAAAGGTTAACAGGGCAAGAACGCGCCAAACAAAGCAGCAGGCACAAGCCAACTACAGTATTGCCAACCGCAAAGTTAAACGCAGCGCTAGAGCCGATAACCGCAGATGGCTCGACAATTTAGCAACAGAAGCCCAAAAAGCAAGCGAATCACATAGGCTCAAAGACCTACACAACATCACTAAAGCTATGGTGGAACGTAAACACAGGATTGCAAAGCCAATAAAAAATACCAGGGGCGAACTAGTACACTCTACCGAAGATCAGCTAAAAGTTTGGGAAGATCACTACAGAAATCTCCTAGCGGGAAACAACACCTATCCACAGCAGGAACTATGTAGTAGACACCACGAACATGTTGCTCGCAACGACATAAACACAGATGCACCTAACATCAGTGAAATTGAGGCAGCAATAACTCAGCTTAAAGCAGGTAAGTCCGCTGGTCCGGACAATATTGCCCCCGAATTGCTAAAAGCAGACAAAAGTTCAGCTGCTCAAATTATTCAACCAATTGTCAACAACTTCTGGTCCCAAGAGTCATTACCGCCTAATCTTAAAGACGGCATCATTATTAATATACCAAAGAAAGGTAACTTGATGCAATGCTGCAACTGGAGAGGCATAACTTTACTAAATGTAGCTTATAAAGTTATTGCTCAAATCTTACATAAACGTTTAACTTCGGCCGTTGAGCCTACACTACGAGCCGAACAAGCAGGATTTAGGCATAATCGATCATGTGCCGACCACATAAACAGCCTTCGAATAATAGTCGAACAGTCCAGCGAATGGCGATCTCCTCTATACTTGCTGTTTATCGACTTTAAACGTGCATTCGATACACTTCTCCATACCACCATCTGGTATGCATTAGAGTGTAAAGGTATACCGAGTAAATTAATAAATTTAGTAAAAGGCTTGTACTCTGACGCGCACTGCTCAGTACTTCACGAAGGGCGTCTCAGCGGACAAATTCAAATTAAGTCTGGCGTCCGACAAGGTAGCATTCTTTCACCTATACCATTTAATATAGTCTTAGATGTGGTTATGTCGGAAGCTATGAGCACAAATCATGGCATCTCATTCGGCCTTCATAACAAACTTACTGACCTTGATTACGCAAATGACATCTGTTTACTAACACATAACTTTTCCCAGATGCAAATATCGTTAAACAACATCGCAAAGCGTGCACTGGCAGCTGGTCTGTCAATCAATATCAACAAAACCAAGTCTATGCGTCTCAATTCAAACTGCTCAACGAAGTTTTAAATAGATGACTCCTACATCGAAGATGTACAAAGTTTCTGCTATCTGGGAAGCTACATTTCGAACAACGGCGGCAGTCGGCAAGACATACAGCACAGGCTATCGAAAGCGAAGCAAGCGTTTGGAACCCTTAACAAAATCTGGCGTTCATCCAACATCACACAACGCACTAAGATACACCTGTACAATGCAAACGTAAAATCAACTTTACTATATGGTAGTGAGAGTTGGAACCTAACGGCAAGAGACGCACAACAGCTACAAGCCTTTGTCAATCGCTGTCTACGACGCATCCTTCATGTATTCTGGCCAGCAACCATAACCAATAATGAGCTCTGGTTTAGAACGAATCAGCCTCTTATAACTGATGAAATAATGATGCGCAAATACAAATGGCTTGGCCATACGTTAAGAAAACCCGCTGATGATATCGCAAGAAATGTCTTAGATTTCAACCCTCAAGGCAGTAGAAGACCAGGGCGTCCGCGCAACACTTGGAAACGACAAACTGAAGCTGAATTAAGAAATGCTGGAAAGAGCTGGAGTGAAACAAATCGTCTTGCATTAGATAGAGTTCAATGGAAACTATTTGTTACGGCCCTCTGTTCCACGTAGGAATAAAAGGATTAAATAAAATAAGGCCAATTGCAATGGCTTACATCAACTGAAGTGCAGTAATGGCTAAGTCGTCACGAGCTCTCATTAGGTTTCAAAAAGAAGACCGTGCAATAATCTTATAAAGTTCTAGACCCTTACAATGTTTTACATCAACAGAAGTGTAGTACCGGTTATTTTCTCTTCAGTCAACCTTATATAACCTTAAATACACATGTAAGCATAAAAATCAGTTAATAATTTTATATTACCAAATGAATTGAGACAAAACAAAAACCAGTTACCGTTTAAGTTTACAAAGTAAATACCAACTTAAATAATATTGCAGGTCTAGATCGTGACAACAACATTTACATACTTACTTTTTGTCAATGTCTTAATAGGTTTGATCAGCTTCTGAGAGATCTTTGCAAAGATATAAATCGCACAGTTTTCTGACTATGTGACAACTGAATTACTAGTACAAAACTTTGCAATAAAGACTTAAAACCATAACTAGGAAAGGAATATATAGCTGACATAACACATATTACATATATCAGCTGGATACTCAAAGCAAGAAGTAACACGATACAGCTAAACGGGAACAGGTTTGATGTAGATAGATCTGCGCTATGTAGTATGTGTAATTTAGATAAGACTGAAGATATTGTACATTTTCTTGGACGTTGCCCTTTTCTACAACAGTTTCGATTACCTTACTTTAGTAAAGCTATTCTATCTTATGAAAACATTATAAATATTTTAAACGGTTCTGAGGTAGAATGGGCAAAAATAGCAGAATATGTAAAAAATTATGTAGCATATCGGTCTTATTTAATATCACAATATAATAATTAATATATATTTTATAGCTCATCTATTATTTATAACGTGTATATACTACTTTATTCTTATACACTATTTTATAATACTACTATTATACTATAAGTCAAAGGACGACATGTGTCGCAGTCGCTATTTTAATTATATTTATTTATATATTAATTTAAGATTCACTAATCATACTGTAAAAATTAAATTTAAAATGAAAACAAATATACATACATACATACATACTAGTACAAAACTATACATAATAACCTGGTAAGAATTGCGATAAAAATAAAATAATTTGCTCTAATTCTAGAGAGCAAGTGAAATATTATGTGTCATTTTTAGTGGGTAACATCAATAATCATATGGTAACAAAAACGTTACCTAAGGCACTATCATGGAATAGTACTCAATTTATCTTAGTGAAACTTTAATCTGTGACCGACTTCAACAGACGGATGTACTACTGAGCACAGTCCATTTAAACCCACAAAAATTCTTAGTATTTAGTCACTTACTCTTAAATATGCTTCATTGTCTATTCTTAAATGACAGGCCGCAATAAAAAAAAAAACAAATTCAAAAAAGAAAAAAAATTATCTTAGGTGAACGAAGCTCTTTCGATGACTAAATTTAAGATTTGCAATTTGCATTAATTTAATTAATTAAAATTTTCGAGACAAAACCAGAGGGGAGTAGAAAAAGAGAACGACCGCGACGAAGATGGCTACAAGATGTAGAAGACGACATACGAACGATGAGAATAACACAACACAGAAAGAAAGCGAAATGCAGATAAGAATAGAGGGGTATTGTAGAGGAGGCAATGGTCCATCCTGGACTGTGATGCCAAAATGATAATGAATTTGAATTAATTCATTCACCTCATGTGAAAAAAATTTAATTTAATTGTAAAAAATTTACACAAAATTCGTTTTATTTATATTAAATAAAATTGTTTATATAATTTATATATAAATATACATAAACTTTTAAAATTCAACCATTTCTCGCTATATACATGAGTATTCAGTAGAAGTCAAAAAAAAGTAATAATCTTAATTTAATTATAAAAATAATAATAGTTTTTTTGAAATTAAAAACTTATAAAGATTTCTAATTCTTGTGAAACTTCCTTTCGCATCGAATTGCTTAATATTTATTGTAACTAATTATCAAAAACGCTTAAATAATAAAGTTTGATTTTATATGTTCAACTGTTTTCTTTCATATTTAAAATAAAACTCTATGAGATATTTAAATATTTTCAGAAACTTTAAATTGACCGAACGTTTGCCAACAGCACTAAATGGCGCCAGTGCAATATCACCCCAAAACACATCTCTATCACCGCCTTTAATGCCGCCCTTACATGCAACTTCCTTACAAGCAGTTGCAGCTCAACAGGCAAGTGTACCGCCAAATTATGTGGCAACATCTCAACCTCCAGCGCAGCATCCACACTCAGCAAGTGCCGTGCTGTACCCAAGCGCCGCTTACAGTGATCATGGCTTCCTACAAATGACACTCGGCTACTTGTCACCCTCATCGGGTGCTTATAAATCAGTGGATCCATACTTTCTTTCGCAAGGTAACTTTTTAGGAGCATAATTAACACAACATATAAACTAATAGAACAGAGAATAAATTGAATACACAAAATTACGAACACCAAAGTTTTCCAATCATTGCAAACATATTTAGGGTCACTAACTGAATTAAATAATTTATGGAAACTTACCCAGAAAAAACATAAATAAAAACTATCAAAAATTGTTGGAAACTATATAAAAATGAATTTCAACTATGAAAACTTTCAACTCAATATCTTGTACAACAATCAATTATTTTGATTTTTTTAAATTTGACAGCCGGACTTTTTGGAAGTGGACATTTGTTTGGTGGTGCAGGCTGCGTACCGGAATTGGCACTCGGTTTGGGTATGGGTGTGAATGCGTTGCGACATTGTCGCCGACGCAAGGCACGCACTGTTTTCAGTGACCCTCAATTGTCTGGGCTAGAGAAGCGATTTGAAGCACAACGTTATTTATCAACACCCGAACGAGTTGAGTTGGCCACCGCATTGGGCTTAAGTGAAACACAAGTGAAGACATGGTTTCAGAACCGTCGTATGAAACACAAGAAGCAAATGCGAAGGCGAGATGCAACAAATGGTGAGACTTGAATTTTTTTAGAAAAATAAAATATTATTTATTTATAGCCCAAGTTTAATCAAAATGTTAGTAAGGGAATTTGAATTGAGTTTAAAAATTTAAAAGAATGAAATCTTGTACATATTAGTCAATGTGAAGTTTTTAAAAATATAGAACTTTGGTGCTTTATTGGCTTTACTCCTCTTTTTTCAATATTTTATTTCCCAACAATAGAATTAATCGCCATTGATAAAAACTTAGACAAATTCAGTTATTATTATCTGGATTTAATTAACATGTGTTGGAATATAATAGAGACAAGGGATTGACTAAAGTAATAAACAATTCAACTGTAATAATATATGAAGCGATTTTGAAAGATACACAGTTTCTCATATAGTCAATGAACATATAGTAGTTCAAAATTATATTCCATTATATATCAATAAATATTTTTTTATTCCAAATTCATATAAACACTAACTCAGTCAGATCAACCCAATTTGTAGCAACGCTCATAAAATTTTTTCGTGATAGCTATGTACGACTCCATCGTATCTAGTATCTAAAAGTGTTCTTCCACTTTTTCTTTTGGTATATAACTATTTTTTTTTGAATTTTATTAAGGAGTTTCGAGAAAGCTGTACAGGTATCGGTATAGATTATTTACTTAAAAAAAAGTATTATTTTACAAACATTATATGATTCTGATTAAGAATAATATTACCTTATAATATTTATAATATTACCGACATTTTTTCATATTGAATTGTTCGTGCTGAACTGAATTCGCTAATGAGATTAGCGAATATGCTGAACTGAGTTCGTTAATGGGATTAAAAAGTTTTATTTGTTGATCAGTCAATACAATATTTTGGATTTTATCAATAGTTTCTGACATTATTATTAACATTATTAACCTTAAGTGAACAGGTTGAATAACGTACATCAATGCTGTATATAATACCAACATTTAAAGTCACTCATCTTATTACACACTATGACTATACGGAGCATATGAGACCCTGTGCACCAATGGAAGATACAGGAATTTATGACTAAACTGCTGGTGTACTGTAGACATGTTATGATATTATTTAACACGGTTTTGATTTCTTCTGAACAGAGTTTAACTGTTTTCTTAAGTCTACAAAGATCATTCGCCTTTATCACATACAACAGCGGTGGGCACGAATATTTATCAACTACATTATTTTACTATAAAATCAAAGTACCTGTCATGTCAACATAAATCAATATAATTTTGAACAAATTAACTGATAAAATTGTTTAAATTTAAAAAACTTTTAACATTGTTAATTGAATTAAGTCAAACATTGAAAGTTTGACACAGAGGCTGGAAGTAAACCCCTTCACTCCGGTTATGCAAGCAAACAATATTCAAATTACATGCTAATGTTACTGTATAGTTTATTTCGTTAAAATAAGAAAAAATCTGAATTGGTGTCAGTATTAAAAATTTTTGTAGAATGATTGTGTATAAAAATTATTCATTGTTAAAAATTTTGTTTATAAAAATAATCTACGTTTTTCCCTCTTAAGGTTCCTGGCTTCATTCATATTCACATTTTATCACATATTATCATACCTGAAATTCTAAATAGAATAGAATAGAAATAAACAGGGTACTAGCTCCCACCGGAGCAAATTCTAAATAAATCATATGATTAATTTTATTGCATTATTTTTCCACCCTACAATCTAGTTAAACAACCTTACAGGTTTTTGTGAGGCCTTTTAGTATAAAAAATAAATTTAAGAATTCTTAAATATGTTTTTCGAGACCATAGGAGTTTAAAAAATCGGTAATTGTTAATTTAAATTTAGAAAGAAAAATTAGAAAGGACAATAGAATAGTACACTATGAATGGTGTGTTTTGTTACCTCTGGAGAGGGTCTTCTAAGCTGAACCAAATAAAAATTAAACAGTTGAGAAACCTTTTAAAGATTTTGTTTTAGGTCAAGATCCTTAATCTCATCTCATAGGTGAAGATCCTTACCGAATCTGCAGTTATAAATGCCATTTGATCCTATAAATAACAACTTTGATGGTTCACAGTTATTAAAAGAGTTAACGCGTTCTTATTCTTAAGCTCGTCATCTGTTTTGTTAAAATAATATCTCTCTAGCCACGCATCTAGGCGAGAGTGTGGATTTTATACGCAGTAGAGAATCCAGTGAATGCTGTCTACAGTAGATGCTCACAAATTTAAGTTACCTTCAATTTTAAATAGTTTTAATTTTGAAATTTTCTAATGTCTGGTTTATTTTCTTATAAAAAGCATTTTATATTTACCTACATTAACCTACATTTTAATAAGTCTTTGTTTTGCAAATAGTAATCTGTGATATTTGTTGTATTTCTTTACGTAGAAACAAAATATTGTTTATGTACTAAGGACGAGATAGCTCACTCCTTTTTCACCAATAATTTCAATAGTTGTAGAAAAAAGATAGAACGACAGTGATGATTCCCAGTTTTGAATTTTGTAAAAAACTTGAACAATGAAAACTCTCCGAAATCAGACACTCAAGTATTTATTTGAGAGTATAAAATCCATGTCAACATCTAATTCAATTTTTCTGATATTCTAACTCATAAGAGTTTTAATTTGTGAGTTCTACTGTACTTAACATTGAAGCTTAATATACCATATGTTATCAACTGTTTTAAAAATTATTAAATACTTCATCACTTTTGCAATGAGTTTGTCGTGGTTTTTCCTCAAGTTTTTATAATACACCCAAAATAATTCCAAACTGATTCTATCAAGTACTTTTTATTTAATTTTGCCCAAACAAAAGGAACTTTTTTAAATGCACGGAACTCTTGTCCCAAAATAACTAAATAACAAAAATTAATTTAATTTACGAAGTTCATATACATTTAAGAAACTTTTAAGAAAATATGTTTAAAAGACCACAAAGAAGAAAGTTCACTCCTTGCAATGAAAATTTTAAACCAAGTAAAATTATTCCGAAAATTCTAAATAAATGTATAAGTTTCTTTCAAAGTGCATTCGTTTAAGTACACAAAACATTTTGAACTTTTTGACCGCTGCGTAAAGAACACTTCAAATTCAATTAAACTCATCTAAGTAAAATTAAGAAAATTTTAATACAATATGAATTTTGAGAAAATTTTACAAAATTTGACAAAATTTATTACTTTTCCAGAACCTGTTGACTTTTCACGTACTGAGGGTGGCAATAGAAACGATTCGAATAGTCTTGGCACAGCATCAGCATCTTCGAATGCTTCAACATCAAGTGCAAATGGCACGTCACAGTGTAACAACACCAATGGCAGCAATCACAACGCCAGTATAACAGCCAGCAACGACAGTAACGGTCATATCTGTGGCATAGAAAAATCCTTTAGTGCGCAAGCATATACACAACAGCAACAACAACAACAACAGATACATCTTCAGCAACATCAACAACAACAACAACGCAACAATGGCGTCAGTACACACCATCATCAACAACATAATATCCAACAAAATCAGCAACATTTGCAAATGTTAAGACACATATCGACTGGCAACATCGACAGTGCAGTGGGGTTTATGCAGCACGATTACTCAAACGACGATTATTCAGACATAGATGAAGATATCGACGAGGATGAAGACGATGACGGCAGTGATGTTGATATTGTTGGAGACACAAAATTATATCACTTAACGTGAATGTTTTATATTTAGAGACACAAAGAAATTAATTTGTAAATAATACAATATAAAGAATATATCCACAACTGCAATTAATAGGAATTTAACACGATTCGCATTTAAATTTACAGCACGTATTTTGTAATTAGTCTTTTAAAAACAATTACTTTTCTTAAATATTTAGGCATAAGTAGTTCGTAAAATTTGAGTACTTCCATTAAATAGTAATCTGTATTTATAATCTGTATTTATAGAAAAATAATCTGTATAACTTTGTAGACTATTTCGCATGACTGTAAGTGTTTTAAAAAATATATGTATTCGGCTCAGTTGAAATTATTAATTCGTAATATAATCAAATATATACATTAAGTTACATGTAAACGAACGGCTAGCCGTTCAGTTCTATTATTGCAAATAAGTCTTAAATGAAAATAAAAAATTACAAAATTAAATACGTTTTGAGATTAATAGTATTAATAGAATACATTATTATTATTAGAGGTTAGAATCCACTGCGACCAGAATAAATCTATTGTGCCATCGAATACATACTAGAAGTTCCGAATCACCACCCATTCGATAGCACCTCAGGCAAAACTGCATCATCTAAGTGCTTTAACAGCAGTTAAAAAGTTCTTAAGTGTTTTTATTAAATGTTTTTATGATCTGGTAATATTTCTACGCTTAAGCCTGGTTTATTTCTCTGATATGAGAGTCTCTTCCGTTTTTATAAAACTTTTGGTAAACTTACAAAAACAGGGAAAGAAGAAATTAATTTGCAAACTTAAAGCATAAATGCATAGCATTCGATTTAAAAGAAAAGAATTTGTGAAACATAAAGTAAATTCAACAAGTAACATGAAGACCCTGGACCACTATATGGAATAACTTAATAGTGATTTATCCCACTTCTTTGTGGTTATACAAACGCAAAGGGCTTTAACTTTATAATATACAAATAATTGTAATTAGAATAAATAAATATTATAATACACATACACATTTATTTTCGGTTGTTTTCACAAACACTTTCAATCAGCCGATGAAATTCATTATTAAAAATAGTTTTGATATAGAAATAGGTGAGAGTTTTCAAAAATATATTTTAAGATATTGTTCACAAAATAAAATAATTACTTACAACATTAAACATAATTGTATACTTTGTGACTGGGAGCAAGACTTTTCTAAAATTACCAGCACTTATATAAAACTAAACATTCCCGATATTTCCGAATCCAGATCTTTTATCATCTGTAATTGACTATAGCAAGTTTTGGATAATAAATACAATGTTTGTGAGAAAGAAAGATGATAGCCTAACATAATGATAATTATAACACACTCATTTAATTTCATATAGAGTTATGTCCTTTCTAAATATACTTAAAATAAGAAATTAAGAAATCCAAAATATATCAGACGTTTTTCAACAAAAACAATTTTAGATCCATTAAAATAGAATAGTCAACTAAATATCAAACAAAAAATATTTAATGTACATATTTGCATACAATCTTCTATTCCATTTATGTATGGATTTTTCCTCAACACCCTCTATTACGATATAGATTCGCACCTCCTGCATGTAATTCTGTATACTTCCTGAAATAAGTTTTAATAGGCTGTAAATCTGTAAGTTGACACATTAATGTTCTTCTCAAAAACGGAATTAAGAAAGTAAAGTAATGTATACACAATATACTCGTATATAAAAAATTTTATTCCAGAAGTGAGTAAATAGATATGTATGGAAGTTATGTGATTCTGTTTATATTTTTTACTTAATAAAGAAAATTTTTTAGTTGGAGGCTCTTGTACTCTTTAATTATAAATTATTTTTAAATATAAAACCAGATGCTTGAACGTTTTTAGTTGTTTATCATATATTATAAATAATTTTAATAATAATTGAGGTAACAGAAATAAAAAAATATAGATGGTAAAGTGAAGAATTTATATAAAAAATTTCTCAACTAAATATGTATTTCTACATGTTATAATTCTTATTTTTTTCATCTTTCTTAATATAAATTGAGTATCTTTATTTGCTAGAAAAGGAAACAGATTTTGAATTTTTTTTATCATAATAATTATTTTCAGATATATTTACTTATATATCAATAAAAATAATATATGACATATAAAAATTATTATAAAGGTAAAACTCATTTTCAATGAGGTTCAACTCAATTCAACTGAATACATAATACAATTTTACCGAGTTTTAGGTCTTTTATTTAACAAACTTAACTAATGCTACTAGTTTCAATACCTGTAATATTATTTGATCGTCATGAAATTTTAATCCAACTATTACAGTCAATAAACTTTTCATTTAAATTTTTATTTTATAGGAATTGTCTAAACAGCACCCAATTCCAAGTCACTTCAATTATTAATAACCGCTTAACTACTACCATCATTTATTTTCATTCTTATATATGATATATGATTCATATATATGAAAACTAATAGTTTTATTAAATTTTACTTTATTATTATTCCGAATTGAGTTTACTATTTATAAATATAATTTTTGACTAATTAATTTAATTGTTTCCTTTTTTAGTAAATAATCACTTGGAGTATCCGATAATCAGATCAGTAAACTGCTCACTTCATTTGGGGTCGTGTGGGCTCCAGTTAGTTATTCTCTCTATAATTTAAATATATAAATTATTTTTATTACAACCATTATTCAAAGCATTATTGCAGAGTAATTGGATAATTTTAGATAAGAAGATTGCAGTTGAAATTCAATCAAATGATAAATAAGTGAAATTCAAAATTGATTCACTTCATGTAAATGTGCACTCAACAATAATCAGCCTTTGAATTCATTTCTAAAAACCGATATAGTTGCATCCCTTATTAAATTCGATATGGTGGTCGATATGGTGGTCGATATGACTATACCAAAAACATTGTCTTTATTATCCATTTTCTTATTCAGTGAATTAATTCACAGTTTCTACGTTACGTTACGTTACGTTAAATTACAGTTCCTCAATATTGAAATTGCAACAAAATGCAGTAAACCTCGATATCTATACTATCAAAACAGAATACGTAAAGAATATCTGTTACTTTAAGATCATACTCATTGAAAATGACTACTCAGAATTACCACAGGTTAAAGACACAATCTTAAATTAGTATTATAAATCACTGCTTTACAGCTAAGTTTATGTAAATCAGAGAACTTAGTCTACTTATTCAAACGATCTCGCATACTACATTTACTGGTCCAACATAAAAATATTCCATAACTATTAAAGATACTCGTATTTTAAATATTAAATGAGTCAATTTTCAAACAATTTAAAACAATGTGAAATAATTCGAATGAAATCGAACCCGCCAAAAAAGAACGAAAATACTATTGTATAAATATCCCGGATAAGGTAATATATTAAACGCTTGTAACAATTTGTTTAAGATACAAAATTTACAGTTTCCATATACGTACATAAATTATCAATCGACTTTATTAATATTGTTTCGAGTGTTGAATAGTGACTTTTAAATATGTTGTTTCATACCATTCTGAATAGAATCGCTTGATATGCTATTCATATTATTGGTGTATAGATAGCCAATAACTGAGCGTCCTTCATTACCTGGAACAGTTAGAGTCTGACAATAAATATATTCCTTGTTAACAGATCAGTTAAAGTGAAATCAGTAAAAACTAGAAGAGATTCGGTTACTGCAACACGTGAAAAATAAATCTAACTAAGTGCGCCCAAAGACTAAGTAATAAATATAGTCACTAGTTGTTGCGATCCGCGACGGCTTAAAAGTGATTTATTTAATTATAAAAAGTATTTTGGCATTCCAAACGAAACTAATATGATTACGGAACAAGTATCAAACAATATGATTTCGGGTGATCCAAACAAAGAAGGACCTAAATCAGATCAGTTTGAACTGTTACAAGAGCAAATTCAAGAACTCTAACTGCAGATACAACAAATCCTTCAAAGATAAGAGATCAAATCAAACCATTCTCAACAATAACATAACACGATTTCTGTTGACAAAAACGGGACAATAGTTTTTAATCGTGAACAAGGTAAGACGCCTGAAATTAAAAAATTCCAATGAAATGATTAAAAGTAAAAACTCACAAAATAGTTTGCCATAGTTCGCCGATAATAAGAAAAATGAATCAAGAAGAAACAAAACTAAAGTGTACAAACCGTAACCAAATTTTCTAAGGGAAAAAAGTTCAATAGAATTAGTTTAGGCTTTAACAGCTCTATTAGGAAAAGACAGTTTTTACGTTACCTCTTTAAAGAAAGGAAATATCCATGAAATCAAAATACAAGTATCTGCTGAAAGAAACAAAAATAATAGCACATAATCAGTTCCAATGCAGCATATATTTTCTTCTTCTATACAAAGGATGGATAAGTTTAGGGGATGGATGCAAAGAACGATGCAGTCTATGATGCAAAGTATAGTCCGGAATCAATCGCTTGTTTCCAGACTACTGAGAGCATACTGAACGCATTAAATCTGCCACTGAAACGCTTACGGCTTAAGCCACAATATTCTGGAAGTCAGTCGTCATCTATATTTAAACAATATGAATTTTATGCTAATTTGAGAGACACACTTAACGCGTAAAAGCTGCACTCGTACACACGGCTATTCTTTTTAGGACACCAAATATCCCGATGATATAACCCACCGTGGTACTAGTATTTTCATCAGAAGTACAAGGCGACATTATGAACTGAAGCAACTTGCCAAAAAACATATTCAACCCACTACTACCTGCATTCTTATCGCCCAAATGAAACTTGCATTATCTGCCGTATATTGCCCTCCTAGATTTTCGCTAACAACTAATCACTTTACAAAATACTTAGATTCATTAGGACCAAAACTCCAGATTATTATCGCCACGAGGAACACAACTCGTGAAAGCTGTAAAGAAATGTAAGGAAAGGGAACTTTCTATACGCAAACAAGATGGCTCCTCGACTCGTAACGATGAAAAAAAAAGAAACTACTCTGGCACTACACCTGCAGAATGTTCTTCAGCCAAATTTCTAAATCAATTACTTCCAGCCTAACATATCTATCTCAGCTGACGTAGAAAATCATCCAATTAAAGAGTTTTCGAAATTAAAAAAACTTATAACTAACATTAATCTAAGAAAGCACATGGACAAGACCAAAGAAATGGGAAAATGATAAAAAACTTGCCGGACACAGCGATCGCCTTCATTCTCATCATTTTTAACAACATTTTGTCTCTTGAGTACTCTTCGGAGCATTGGAAAACATCGTTGATAAAAATGATCCCGAAACCTGAAAAAGATCCTTCAGTTGCTACATTATGTGGACTGACTTATTGCAGCAAATCTCAAAAATTTTCGGAAAACTTCTAATAAAAAAGATACTTGCTTCCTCACCGATAGAAAATTTGTTTCCAGACAATCAATTTAATTTCGCAAACGGTATGAAAAAATTAAACAGGTCCTTAGAATCGCTAACGAAATACACTTAGCTTTACATTGAAAACAATATTGTACTGCAGCTTTTCTTGATGAAGCACAGGCATTTGACAAAGTGTGGTTTGAAGGACCTTTATTAAAAATAACGCACTCGTTTCAGAAAAGTATTCATAAACTTCTAAAATCCTACGTGACTCACCGAAAATACAGGGTTAGACACAAATCTTTTATTTCGCAAGAGTACGATATCAACGCTGGAGTTCCACAGGGTAGTGTTCTCCTTGCGCTGTTTCTTTACTTAATCTTCACAGCTGACATTCCACAATACCCAAATAATTTGCTGACGAAGTTTGCTGACAACACTGCTATAGTCAGTACCGACCGTGACTGTACTATAGCATCACAAAAATTATCTAGGTATTTTGGTTTAATTGAAGTGTGGCTTGCTTAATGGAGAATCAAGGTGAATGAAACTAAATACGTTCAAGTAACTTTTACTATAAGGAAAGAAAAATACCCTGCAGTTAAAATCAATAATGTGGACATAGCTCAATCACATTCTGTGAAATATCTGCGAATTCAACTAGATAGGAGGCTCACGTAGACAAGTCATATTGAACCCAAAATGTGCCAATTAAATCTTAAATATAAGGAATTGTACAGGTTTCTAAATTGCAACTCTAAACTCAGTCTCGACAAGAAATGGTTAATTTACAATTGGCTTTAATATGCCAATTTGGACCTATGGTATAGAACGGTGGTGTTTAGCGTGTAACACAAACATAGAAAAAATCCAGAGAGTACAAAATAAAAACAAAAACCTACACAAAAATCTAAATCTACCAACTGTGAAGAAGTTATTCGCCAATATACACCTAAATTCCGAGAGAGACTCAAGTCGCATCCCAATCCTCATGTTCGACATACACCTTCTGCAACTGCACTAAATCGCCTCAAAAGAAAATCATTAATAAATATGAATACCCTAGCTCAATAGCATACATGTGTATACTTTAAATATGCGGTATTGCTTTACTACCGGGATTATTGATGGTGAGTCTGCAACTCTACGCGTCAAGAGCTATTGCTTCTTAAAATGCAGAAAGAGCAAATATAAGAAAATATGGGTCATTCTTTTACAAATCGGACACTTATTTGACCTCATGCGCTTCGATTTGGCTGAAATTTTTTTGAGCTCCTTTCATAAAATAAGAAGACCCGTATCTCGGGTAAGAATTTTGTGACTTTTTTCCTAGGAAATACGGACCCATGGGGTTTTGAGAATTGACATTGTAGACACATTTTCAAATGGCTGTATCTCAAATTCTATAAATGGTAGGAACATAAAATTTACTGCGTTTTAAAAATATTTGATTGAACTTTTACCAAAAATTTACAATAAATAAACCAATGCAAAAAAAAAAGTAAATAGATATGCTAGATATGTAAATAGATATGATAGACTGACTTTTAAAAAAACTTGAATTGGTGTAAGTAAAACGTTTTCCTTTTAATTTTTTATGTTTTTTATGTCGCAATTTTATATATCACAGTTTACCGACAAATGATGTTTGCATCATCTGTATATGAATGAGTAGTCCATAGTATAACTGCAATTGCGTTTAGAATTGCAATTTTCTAAGAAAATGTAAATTAGACAACTTCATAAAGCAGAGGGTAGATTAGTCATAAATTTAGTATCTAAATGTATCGATGGAAGTCAATTTTGCAAAGCCGCTACAAGCTTTTTCGAGACTGGTACAAGTAGGTTTAGTGAATTACCTTTGATTTTTCATTAACTACAATAAAACAAAAATCTTGTCACATTTATAGCATAAAACATTCATTTTTAATGATAATATATTCCAATATATGTGCATAAAAGTGTTAATAATCAACCTCTCTGGGCGTAACATTCTTTCTCACGTATGCATTCACTATCAGCACCCGTACGGCGCACAAATCCCGGAGCACAGAAGTAGCCTGAAGGGCAGCGTTTGTATTGAACGTTCTTGCATGAAGTTCGATATATTACATTATTGCAGTTTCGCTCACACTGAGTATTACATGGCCTGTATCTAACACTGCAGTTTATAACTACAATATCGCGTAAATTTTAATGCAGGTTGGTTGTAAGTTTAAAGATTTACTTACGGTAACATTCATCCACTGATACACATTCACTGTCATTATGTTCATTATAAGACTTCTCACGTCGAACAAATCCAGGAGCACAAAAATATCCTTGCCTACAAGATGATTTTTTTTTTACTAGTGTGGAACAGTTTTTTCCACTTCTCAACTCATCACAGCTTTGTTCGCATCCACTAAAGCATTTCTGGTATTCGACTGGCGTTACGGATGGAGCCGATGTTATTGGTGTTGCTTTATTATTATAATTTATATTATTAATATTATAATTAACAAATTTTTTTGTAATATGTATAAGATTAATATTTTTTCTTACGACACTGTGCATTTGCTATTATGCAAAATGTTACCAAATAAAGTAATGGTAAAATTACTCTCATTGCGTTTTTGCAGAAATCCACTTTTGCCATATTTACAAACATCTCAAAGAATAATGAAACATTTTTAGTTTGAATTTATTTATATTAAAATTATTGCGAATTTATATATTTAGTGTTTATATAATGCATAACTTTACGTGTTCATGTGCTCTGTTAAAATATTTGAACAGCTGATGTTTATGAATTGACGTTAAACATTAGATACATAAGATATTTATATGCTCATTTATCTAACAAACAAATTATAAATATTAGCATTTTTCAAAGTTTAACAAATTTTCACCAGAATTATTATTTTGGGTGAAAATAAATAGTTATGCATAGACATCGGCTATGTGGGAAACCCAAACACTTAAACACATAAGTATCAAATGTTACTTAATGCTCTAGGCACAGTAACTTAAGCATAGATGTTCAATTCCACACAAAACACATATCCACTAAAAGTTAAAAATCTGACCGTTTAATCGCCATTCAATCTACAGCGCCGTATCTGTACCCACACACATGCCATATACCCCCCATAGAACCGTTCAACAAAAGGGAGAATGAAAGCTTTTTCTGAATTTTCATAATCGTTGCTTATTTCAGAGTTGGTGTTGGGCATCTAAAAAAAACGCAATGTTTCTTGATATTTTTATTAAAGTTCAAACTTTTAATAAATTATAAACTATTTGAGTCAAAAATAAAATTTAGTCTATATGAATTTATGTTTAACTCTCACTTTGCAAACTTATCAAACTTATTAAGCAACTACTATTCTTCTATTCTTTTCTCTTCTCTCTTATCTTATTTCTTTCTTTTCTTCTTCTGCTTTCATCTCAATCTTATCACTCAATTATCACAAAAGTTACAACTCTTCGTATAAAATATTGCTCGGCATAGGTGTTGTAAAAAATGATCTGTACATGGTTTGGTTTGGTTAGGCTAGATTACTGAGACCGTCCGAAGACGCACTTAGACCATTAGGTCCATTGTGATACCCTTAAGAATTTGACACCTGTCACCATGTAACCATTTAATATTGGCCACAAAGCCATTGACACGAGCTAGAGAAATAGAATTTAGCTCTCTTAATGAATTGAAAAAGTGCGACCCTAAGTAGGAGAGTCTATGTCTTGCGAAAGCTGGACACTGTAACAGAAGATGTATTAGTGATTCCTCTTCGTCATCCTCGTGTGGGCGTCAACGTGTTTCGATTATTGTTAATCCGATTTTTGTTTTGATTCCTTGTAAATAATTTAATATGAAAAGATTCAGCGGAATATAAGTTATTAGCCTATACCCGCCTAGATCGGAGGTAGGGGTGCTAACTTAAATTGTTCTTTGTGAGACGACTGGCTTCCGAACTTGTCTGTGTTTTTGATATAATTACTGACAGTTCCTTCGATTGTCAGATGTTGTATCCTAGTTATCCCGCCATTTACTCGTACGCCAGACCCTCTTTTGTGTTAATAGAAGGCGCCGACAAGAAGACAAAAGATAACTTTAACCCAGAGAAGCTGTATGTGAAGCATCATTAATAATATGGTAATAAGTAATAATATCTCAATATTTGCTATTGTATGAATAAAGTTGTGAAATCTTTGTTAAATCCCAAACTAGTCCCTGCTAGAAAAGAATTTTTTCACATGGAAGAAATTGAATATCTAAGCAGCGCTGTCCAATTCAGGTGTCCACGTAAAAGAAAGGTGGGTAAATTAAATTAAAATCTTATGTTAGTTAAGATAATTTAATATAATCCTTCAAAATTTTAATGTGAATATCATTATTTAAACCAGATATATATTAAATTCAGCGCAGCGTGCAATCCAAATTTTCGAGACCTCCTTCTTCCAAAATCCGTAAACAACAAAGCAAACTCGTATTGTTTCGCGTTTGATTCGTATTCGCATTTTGCTCACTTTTTTAAAATAATTTCTTGTTTTTAATGGTAATTTTTTCTTGCCAAGAATGACGTTAGAAATTAGAAAAATAGAAATGAAAAGACAATAACAAAAATGTAGTTAATTTATGGACTAATAATTGGTGAGCCAAATTTCAATAAATTAATTAAATATTTGTTATTGTCTCTTTATTTCTATTCGAACTATTCTAACTTCAATAATTTCCTGTTTTTTGTTTTATTTTCATTATGTAAACAAATCCATATTTTTTTTTGGATAAAAGTAGAAAAAATTAAAAATAAATAATTGAGGACTAGGAAAATAAATCATACGACAAATGGTCACAATAATTTCCCACCATTAATGGTTATGACCAAAACACATGTTACATAGAGTGTCATATTTCAACTGACAATATCGTACTTTTACAACTATTTTGGTACTTCTTGGTTGTGCCTTAATTTGAAAGGTGATTATTTTTGTATGAATGTGTGACGAAACCCAGAAAAATCAGAATGAAATGAATCAACTTATATTTTACCATATTGTAGAAAGTCGTGTAATAAAGGATATATATTATCGAACCAGTTGAGTGTTTACTTTCTGGTACACCGACTTACAATATAGATGAATCGAGTAAATCGAAATAATTTCACTAACTAACTTATTTCACTTAATGGCTATATAATATTTTATGCGTTATTGTTAAACAACACAAAACAATATACCTTATATAACTCTGCAACGATGTATTGATTTGTTCTAACTTCACAATTCCATACTTTTTCCTCAATTGCGGAAAAAAACTATTAGCATGAAGAAACTGAATTGAAATCTTATAAAAATACAGTGACAAAGAAATACATTTTTGAGTGGTGGCGCTACTAGTGGAACCATAAGTCATTCAAATCTCTGTCGATGTTGATCCCGAGCTTGTGCAGAAAATTCAAAAATTTAATCATTTTGACTTTTATAATTTTACTTAATAATGAAAATAATGCGTTTTAAATACTGTCTAATTATTTATCACAAAATAGTTTCTTACATAATATGGAAATGATGAGTATCAAGAGAAAACTATTTGATCTGAATAATGACGACAAATTTGTGGACGTCTTGAAAAATGATTTCGATATTTTACTATCATAAAAAATGTGTTTCACTGAGTCAAGTATAGTTGAGTCCTTTCCTATTCAATTGTTTATTGTGAGATCAAGTATACTCCAGTATCATTTTCTGTCAAACATACCGTACATACATATGTCAAATTGCTTCAGTGCTTCAAAAATATTAATTCGTGATCAATAAGAAGTTTTAATTGCAAATTCCAATGTATATACAGTGACCGACAAAACTCCACATACATCCCCTCATTTCTGCTAGCTCGTAAATCCAAAGACATAAAAGAAAAAAGTAATGATACAGTTTTGTTTAGAACTGTTATTTAATAATAATAAACAAAAGAAAATTCATTCATCAATATAAATTAACAAAGTTATTCGAAAAAATCTAAAAAAATCATTGACAAAAGTCTACATACACTTCATTGATTGTTACATTTAGTCGACAGTAATTTAAATGTTAAACAGGAAAGTACCGTTTTTCATATTTCATGCTTGTGGCATGAGTCATACATATATGTATATAGTGCACTTAGTTGTGCTTTGTGAGTGGTATTTAATTGACACGATGGGTCCACGAAAAGAAATTTCAAGTGATATGCGAAATCTGGTTATTAAGCATAGAAATGAAGAAAAACCTTATGGTAAAAATATCAAAACTAGTAAATTTGACTCGATCAACAGTTCCGACGATAATAAGAAATTATAAAAATACTGGTTCTACTGAAAATAATCCTCGCAGTAGCGGATCAAGGAAACTCACACGTAGGGTTGTCAGCTTGGTTTTAAAAGAAGTTGACAAAAATCCAAAGGTAAGTGCCTTAAAATTAGTCGAAAACATTGCTAGTGCAAATGGGAAGCATGTGATCGAAAAGTGATCAAAACAAATTTTGAATAAATTTTTTGATATTGAGAACGTGAATTCTTGGAGAATTGATGTCTTAGTTGGAGAACCGTTGCATAGTGGTGAGAACTTAGTTTGTTTTAAGTCCGTATTTATAATATGTTACATGTCATAATATTTTTGGGGGATCTGCAATTAATAAGTAGGGTTAGTGACCTTCTCACTTGACTTGATGACACTTTGTTTTAGAAACGGGAGTGCCAAAGTAACTTTCTATAAAATCTTATAAAATTACAATACATACAAAGTATTTGAGAAAAATACAAAGTATTTTGTATGTGTAAAGGTGGACAAATATATTTTCATATTAAATAAATTTGTCCCTCGGAAGGTAGAACATATTTTACAATTTCTAATTTTAAATTGCATCATTGTAATTGTTTCCTAATTACATATTATATTACGAAAATGAAGTGATTAACATTTAGCCATTACTTTTTCTTCACATCTTCAAATTCAGTTTACCAGTTTTGATTTTGACCTTTATGCAACAAGTAACTATCTATATTAATAAGCTGAACTTGGATTAATTCATGTGCCAAAACGTCCTTCTAAATGAAAAAGATTTCCAAAAATATAATTATCAAAATTTTTCCACACAATTGAAAAAATTGTGTGTACCCATAAATTCACAATAGTTTATTACAATTCTATAGTTTTAAAAATAATTATATATAATAGGTCTGTTCCACGAGCTACTCATAGTAACTTTGAGTAAACACTGTGTATACACAAGCGCGTTCCACCAGCAAATTTTCAAGTATTTTTGTGTAAATTTTACTTCTGTTTTACTCATGTTTTACTATGAGTAGCTCGTGGAACAGACCTAATATATAAACAATTAACTACCGGTAATTATTCAATATTTTATAAAATTTGTAAAACATATTTCTTACTTATAAGTTAGAAACTAAATATGCTATATTAACATATTCAAACTATTTTAAAATATCCTACTGACAAAGTCTGTTATTAATATATCACATTATAATGTTTTACAAAGAAAAGACTGTTTACTTATTGCAATCATTTATCTCCACAGCAACATAATGATTTTTATAAGAAAATGCCTACATTATTTGCCAGAGAAGCTTTGCTGCACAAACATCCAGCAGATCATTACACCCTACTA